AGAGAGAGAGAGAGAGAGAGAGAGAGAGAGAGAGAGAGAGAGAGAGAGAGAAACAGTCACACACAAAATAATCTTAAAACATATTTATGCAAGGCATGCATGTGCCATGGCCGCATGGGGCGGTCAGAAGCCCCGTGAGGAGCAGACTCTCTTCCTCTCAGCCTGGGCCCTTCCCTTCTGAGCTGTCTCTCCAGCTCACTGCTTTGCTCTTTGTTAGAAGCTCGATACACGCCACCCAGGCTGGAATCCAACGCAGTCTTCCGGCCTCAGCCTCCCTGTGCTGTGACCACAGGTCACCGCCCAGTTGGGCCTTGTTTTCTTCTGTGTGATGATTCAGTGATGTCCAAGGTGACTCTGGCAGGAGGGCGCTGGTCACCAGGCCTCTGCTTCAGTGTCTTCCGGTGAAGTCTGGATGTCCCCCCAGACCGTTTGCCCTGTGTCCAGGGAGGATGGTGAGCCAAGCGTTTCTGTATGCTGATGCAGTCTGGAAGACAATTGAGAGCACCTAATTTTTTTTTCTTTTAGGACCTGATATTTGTGGATTTGATAACAAGAATGTTCATGTTATCTTATATTTCAAAAATCAGTATCATGCAAACAAGAAGCCAATCAGATGTAAGGTGAGCAGCTAATGTCACAGTGAGTGGTTCTCTCCATCCGCCTCCCTCCTCCCTCCTCCTCCATCTCCTTCCTTACCCTCCTCTTTTTTTTCTTTTTTTGGTTTTTTGAGAGAGGGTTTCTCTGTGCAACAGTCCTGGCTGTCCTAGAACTCACTCTGTAGACCAGGCTGGCCTCTTCCTCCCGAGTGCTGCGATTAAAGGCCCGTACCCGGCCCTTCCCCTCCTTTTTATTCCTTCCTTTCTCTCCTTCCCTTTTTAAGTTTTTATTATTTGTAATTACGTGTGTGAGAGTGTGAGTGCAGTACCCACAGAGGCCAGAAGAGGGTGTTGAATTCCTTGGAGCTACCTGGCATGGGTGCCGGAAGGCCAGCTCTGGTCTCTGTGAGAGTGGGGTGTACCCCTAACCACCGAGCCCTCTCTGCAGCCCCCACTTCTCTTTTTCCTTTAATTCATCTCTCTACATGGCCCAAAGGGCCTCAAACCCCAGGATCCTCCTGCTTCAGCCTCCCGGATGTTCCCTGTGCCTCTCGTCTGACGAATGTGAACAGGACTGGGTATGGTGGCTCATATCTAAGCAGCAAGGCCACAGCCTGCAAGTCACCCTGTCTTGAAATTTCCTCTCTTGTCTCAATCACGTTTCTATTGCTGTGAAGAGACACCATGACCAAGGCAACTCTTATAAAAGAAAGCATTTAATTGGGGCTGGCTGTGGTTTCAGAGGTTTAGTCCATGGTCAGCGTGGTGAGAGCATGGCGGCACATGGGTAGACATGGTACCAGAGAAGGAACTGAGAGCTACATCCTAATCTGCATGGTAGTGGGAAGAGAGAGACAGTGGGCTTGGCTTGGGGCTTTTGAAACCTCAGAGTCCATAACCTCCCAATCCTTCTAATGCTTTCAAAGAGTTCCACTCCCTGGTGATTAAGCATTCAAATATATGAACCTATGGGTGGCCATTCTCATTCTGCCAAACTACTTAGCCCATGACCTTTCATTCACCCTCACTCAGATTTTAAGACAAAGAGAGCCAGGCATGTTTACATAGGCCTTTAATCCCAGTAGTGGGAATGCAGAGGCAGGAAGATCTCTCTGAGTTTGAAGGTGGCCTGGTCTACATAGTGAGTTCCAGACCAATCAGGACTACATAGAGAGACCCTGTCTCAAAAAAAATGGAGAGGCAGGGAGAGGAGAGAGAAAAGATGCCAGACTTACTTGACTTGTGGACATGCTCATGACAAAGTCTGGAAGTGTGTGTGTAAATGACTATAAAGTGATGGGCAGAAATACCTCTGGACGTACCCTGCCCCAGAACATTTTAGTAGAAGATAAGGAAAGGCCACTTGAAGTTTTAGCTCAGGTCTGTCCCAGAAGATACCTCCCTGGCTGGGTGGCTAATAAATCCCTCCCACTACCACCCCTAGGCATTTTCCTCCTCCTTCCTGAGGGAATGGGGAATGAGGTTTCTCTTCTGTCTGTTCCCTGCTGGATGGGGCACCCATACCTCTTTAGTTAAAATAAAACTCTCCTGATCAGTCCTAGGATCACCAGAGGGAGGGTTATACTGGACCTTGAGGACATTGTGGTCTTTGTTTCCATATGAGACAAGGTCTCACACAGCCTAGGATGGTCTTAAACTCCCTGTGTATCCAAGGATGACCATGAATTCCTGATCATCCTGCTTCCATCTCCCAAGTGTCTGGCTTACTGGAGTAAGCCACCACACCAGTGTATTGATTTGCTTTCAAGATATACACTAGCATAAAGTATATGGAACAATGAGGTCAGAACAGGCTACCTGACCAGCTGGATCAGTGATTGAGTACAGAGAGACACTACCTCAGTGTGGAAAGTGGAGAGCCATCATGGAAGACACATGACCTCAGCCCCTGGTCTCTATACACAGGCACACACACATATAGGTGCCTCTGCACACATATGCATTGTACACATACACACAGAAAAAAGAAATGTACAGGGGCTGGAAAAGATGGCTCAATAGTTAAGAGCACTGGCCATTCATGCAAAGAACCTGGATTTGCTCACAGCTCCCACATGGAAGCTCACAACCATCTGTAACTCCAATTCCAAGGATCAGAAACCCTCTTCTGGCCTCCGCAGGCACTGGGCATGAATTTATTTATTTATTTATTTATTGGCAGGGTTCCATTATATAGCCCTGATTAGCTTGGAACTCATAGTATAGACCGGGCTGACCTTGAACTCACAGAGATCGCTCTTCCTCTGCCTCCCAAGAGCTGGGATTAAAGGTTGTGTGTCATCATACCTAGGAAAGTAACAGCTCTTAGTCAGCTGAACAAGGCTGTTCTCTACATGCTTTTCAAAACATTTTTGTGTTCTGTCCACTCAAAGGCAGAGAAAATTTCCCAAGAAAGTAAGAATATGAGGCCATGTGTGGTGTGGTGAGTTGAGGGGAGTCCTCCAGCCACAAGTCACAGTATAGTTTTCACCAGCCTGAATATTATGGGCTTTTTCCTACAACCTGCTGCCAGAGGACACTCCTCTGCCTACTTCCTCATGTCAGCAAGGAGCTAGTAACAGTGAGCAGCCCTATTAGAAGCTGAAGACTATGGCAAGAGAGATGGCTCAGGGGTTAAGAGTGCGGAGGACCTGAGTTCAGATCCCACTCCCCACGTCAGGTGGCTCACAACTGCCTTACTCCACCATGTGGCATCCAATGCCCTCTTCTAGCTTCCACAGGCATGAGCTAGTTTTAACTAGTCCTAGAACTAGCTCTGTAGACCAGGCTGACCTTGAACTCAGAGATCGCCTGCCTCTGCCTCTTGAGTGCTGAGGTTAAAGGTGTGCTACACACACACACACATTTAATACAAAAAGAATCTAAGAATGAGGGGTTGGCATCTGTAATGAGATCTGGTGCCCTCTTCTGGCCTGCAGGGACACATGCAGGCAGAACACAATATATATATATTTTATATATAATATATTATATAATTATATATGTCTATATATAATATGTAATATTATATTATATTATATTATATTATATTATATTATATTATATATAATCAATCTTCAAAAAAGAAAACAAAACAAAAACCACTTGCTGCTTAAAAAAAAAAAGAATGAGGGCTGGAGAGATGGCTCAGGGGTTAAGAGCACTGGCTGTTCTTCCAGAGGTTCTGAGTTCAATTCCCAGCAACCACATGGTGGCTCACAACCATCTGTAATGAGATCTGGCGCCCTCTTCTGGCCTGTAGGCATACATGGAGGCAGAATACTGTATACATGATAAATAAATCTTAAAAAAAAAAAAGAAAGAAAGAAAAAAGAATGAGAGGGGCTGGCAAGATGGCTCAGTGGGAAAAATATGCAGAGCAGTTTGCCAAGAGACCCTGTGTCTGAAAACAAGGTGGGAGGCTATTATAGTGAGAGAAACCTGACCTCAGCCTTTGGCCTCCACACAAATGAGCACAAAACAAAACAGAAAAACTTGCTGGCTTGCTATGTAGTTGAAAATAACACTGAACTCCTGATCTCCCTGCCCCTATTTCCCAAGTGCTGGCCTTAGAGGTGTGAGCCACTAACCAGCTTGTTGGTTTGGACTTTAAGATGGGGCCTTATGCTATAGCCCAGGCTGGCTAGAGACTCGTGGCCTCCCTGCTTCAGCCTCCCAAATGCTAGAGGCAGAGGCCTGTGCAACCTCCAACACATCCAGCACCGTTTTATCCCCAGTGCCCCCTCCCCGTGTGTGTGTGTGTGTGTGTGTGTGTGTGTGTGTGTGTGTGTGTGTGTGTGACAACTTGTGGGAGTCACTTCTCTCCTCCCACCAATGTGGGTCCTATGGATTGAACTCAGGTCACCAGGCTTGGTGGCAAGTGCCTTTACCCACTGAGCCATCTCCCACCCCTGGTCCCTGTTTTAAAGTACACATCTGGACACACAATAAAAGTGTACCTCACTGTGGCTTCTGTGCAGGTCGATGGCTTCACCCACCTCTACACTCTGATTTTAAGGCCAGATCTTTCTTACGAGGTGAAAGTTGATGGCCAGTCCATTGAATCCGGCAGCATTGAGTATGACTGGAATCTGACGTCGCTGAAGAAAATGGAAAAGACATCAGCGGAGTCTCAGGCCTGGGATCAGGTGGAAGGTAACAAAGCCCAGGTAGGTGAGCTGCAGCTTGGGAATGTGGTGAGAGTCCTTCCAGGGTCTGCTTGCACTGTATTCCTGGCCCACACAGACCTCTCACCCTGAGGCCTGGACACACAACTCAAGGGACTGTAAAAACAATTTAAATTGGGTGTTTGTTGTTGACACAGAGTCGCACTATGTAGCCCTGGCTGATCTGGAATTTCCTCTGTAGACCAGGGCCTTGAACTCATGGAATTCCACCTGCCTCTGTCTCATAGGTGCTGGCACTAAAGGTGAGCGCCACCAGGCCTGGCCATTGTAGGGTTTTAGTCACACAGATATTAGGTCAGATGCTCTCACAGGGAGTAACAATAGCCCAAGATTATTTGATTCTGGCCTGCAGCTTCCTAACTGCTGTGGGATATTCCTGTACATCTTGTGAAGATGTGTCGAATAGCCCAAGACAGATTCCGCCTGCAGCTTTCTAACTGCTGCGGGATATTCCTGTACATCGTGTGAAGATGTATCGAATAGCCCAAGACAGACTCCGCCTGCAGCTTCCTAACTCTATAATCTGAGGTTTAGATGCAGCTTCTCTCCCTTCATTCCCTGCTCCCACCCTAAGACCACTCGAGGAGAGCAAACCCCATCATGGCCACAACAAAAACCCCACAGACAGACGAAGCCCAGGCAGTGTGCACTTGCCGCTTGGTGGAGTTGGCAGTTCTGCAGCCTTGGTGTCTTAATTAGGGTTACAATTGCTGCGATGAGACCCCATGACCAAAGCAACTTGGGGAGGAGAGGGCTTCACCCTGGAAGGAAGCCAGGACAGGAGCTCACGCAGGGCAGGGACTTGGAGGAGGAGCTGACGCAGAGGCCATGGAGGGTGCTGCTCACTGGCTTGCTCCTTGTGACTTCCTCAGCCTGCTTTGTTTTTTTGTCTGTTTGCTTTTGAGACAGGGTTTCTCTGTTGTAGCCCTGGCTGTCCTAGTACTCACTCTGTAGACGAGGCTGGCCTCAAATTCATAGAAATCTGACTCTGCGTCCTGAGTGCTGGGACTAAAGGCGTGTGCCACCACTGCCCGGCTCAGCCTGCTTTCTTATAGAACGCAGGACCACCAGCCCAGGGATGGCATCATCCACAATGGGCTGGGCCCTCCCCATCAGTCACTAATTAAGGAAATTCGGGGCTGGAGAGATGGCTCAGCAGTTAAGAGCATTGGCTACTCTTCCAGAGGTCCTGAGTTCAATTCCCAGGTGGCTCACAGCCATCTATAATAAGATCTGATGCTCACTTCTGGCATGCTGGTATACATGGCAGAGCACTCAAAAAAACATAAATAAAAAATTATAAGAAAAAAAATTCCCTATAGGCTTGCCTACAACCCAGTCTTATGGAAGAATTCTTTTCTTCCTTCCTTCCTTCCTTCCTTCCTTCCTTCCTTCCTTCCTTCCTTCCTTCCTTCCTTCCTTCTTCCTTCCCCCTCACCCTCTCTCTCTCTCTCTCTTTCCTTCCTGCTTTCTTTCCCTCCCTCCTTTCTTTCTTTCTCTTTTTTCCTTCCTTCCTCTTTCTTTCTTTCTTTCTTTCTTTCTTTCTTTTGGTTTTTCAAGACAGGGTTTCTCTTTGGAGATCTGTAAACCAGGCTGGCCTCGAACTCAGAGATCCTGAGTGTTGGGATCAAAGGCATGCGCCACCACCACCTGGCTATGGAGACATTTTCCTTTTTTTTTTTTTTTTTTTTTTTTTTTTTTTTTTTTTTGGTTTTTCGAGACAGGGTTTCTCTGCGTAGCTTTGCGCCTTTCCTGGAGCTAACTTGGTAGCCCAGGCTGGCCTCGAACTCACAGAGATCCACCTGTCTCTGCCTCCCAAGTGCTAGGATTAAAGGCGTGCGCCACCACCGCCCGGCCTGACATTTTCTTAATTGAGGCTCCCTCTTCTCTCTCAGATGACCCCAGCTTGTGTCAGGCTGACATAAAACTATCCTGTATACTTGGAGACCACTCCAGTGAACAGGGAAGGGCACTGTGACAGGAGCTAGGGACCTGCCCTGCTAATCTGTTCCTAAGGAGTCCCCGCTGGTATGCTAGTGCCCACCGCCCTCTGTGGGCCAGCTGGGCTCTGTCCCAGCTTCACTGAGCATGTGTGCTCACTAGTTCCCCCTTCCACCCACACTGAAGTGTTTTCCGGGGGTGGTGAGATGGTTCAGCAAGGAAAGATGCTTTCCGCTAAGCAGTGCGGACCTGAATTTGGTCCCTGGAACCCACACGGTGGAAGGAGAGACCTGACTCCTCTGGCCGCCACATGTGCACATAGGATGTGTAATAAATGTAGTGAAAACATTTTACAAAAATTTCCCTTTTCCCAGTGTGCCCCTGGTGCCATGCATTTCTCTCTATATTTGAAGGATTGGGAAAAACACTTTCTGGATGCGAGTGCCAGCAAGCCGAGCGAATGGAACAGTGAGCTGGATGGCGACTGGCTGCAGAAGCCACCATACCAGGTGTGTGGCTTCTACCTGCAGTGACTCGGGACGCTTGTGGTGGCCCTTGCCCCTGCCCCGCCTGTGCTGTTAGAAAAGAGCATTCTTACAGCCACAAGTGGGGAGGGGATTCTTTAAGATTGGTTGAATGAGGAAAAGAAGACTAGATCTTGGTTTACTGATTGTTCTGTACATCATGGAGGCACCACCCAAAAGGGGACAAGTACAGCATTTCAACCCCATTCTGGGAAAACCCTGAAAGATGCTAGTAAAGGGAAATCTTCACAGTGGGCAGAATTTCAGGCAGTACCCATGGTCATACCATTTGTTTGGAAGGAGAAATGGCAAAATGTGCAACTCTTCACTTATTGATGGGTTGTAGCCAATGGAAAAACTGGATGGTCTGGAACATGGAAAGAGCATAATTGGAGAATTGGTGAGAGAGACATCTGGGGAAGAAGTATGTGGATAGATATCTCCAAATGGGCAAAGGGTGTGAAGATACTTATATCCCATGTGAATGCAGTAGCAAGCATAGTCATTTGGGCAACTTCTTCATGTAAGTTGCTTGTGCCTTCAGGACCTTCTTGGGCTCAATCAACAATATACCACTTCAATTTGATGATAGGTTGCTGCTGTTCATGTCCTACTTTATGACTTGGTGGTTTTGGGACACCCAGCTCATGATTCTGAGTTGAGGTTGTATGGTAAGATGGTAGCCCACTGTTAAATGATCTGGAGGAGGTGGGAATAAGGGGTGAGCTGGGGGGAGGGGCAGGGTGCGGGAAGGGGAGAGCAGGGAAATCTGTGGCTATTATGTGGAACTGAATGGTGTTGTAAAATAAAAATAATAAATAAAATAAAATAAAATGTTAAAGAAAAGAGCATTCTTGGTGTCACAGGAAAGAACACACAAAGTAAAAGTAACCTGGCAAGGCAAGTTCTTTTTATAAAAAGCATGACCCAAGTCTGCCAGCAAGCACATGAGTGGGGAGTTGGATTAGTTTTTATTCTAACACAGATGGTGACTGTGTCTCAAGGGAACCTGATCATACCGTCTTTCGAGGTTTGCTACTTTTGAAAGAGTTCATACAAAGAAGATGAAGGAAACGGGGAAGGGATGGGGTTGCTGCAGGCTATCAAGTTCTGGGAATTAGGGGCAGGGTGCTTTTCATTAAATTTTCTTTCTTTAACCAGGTCAGGGAGGCTAAAAGATTTACATGGAATTTTTTACCAAGTGGGGGAAATGAGAAGACTTGAATTCCTTTGCGTAAAACATTTATAAATTGCAGGAAGGTTTATGGAATATTGGCCCTTGGTGGACTAGCCACCTTTGGTAGGAAAGCACAAAAACAAAAAACAAAGCAACCGTTTCTGCTGCCTGTGATGCAAACCAGACAAGTGTCTGCTTTTGCAGGATGGCCTGAAAGCCGAGGGCATCGATAAAGATGTGTGGCTCCACCGGAAGATGAAGCCTGCCAGCTACCTGACACAGTACGACCTCTCGGAGTTCGAAAACATTGGTGCCATTGGTCTGGAGCTGTGGCAGGTGACTTGGCTTCAATTCTGCTTTACTTGAACAGCTCTGGGATGGACCTTGCTGTGTAGCCCAGGCTGGCCTTGAAATCATGATCCTCTTGCCTCAGCTCCTGAGTGCTGGGATGGTAGGCATGTGCCATGGTGGTCGGCTGATTTAATAACTTAACTTCAACGTAAGCCACTTAGTACACAATTGTTGTTTTTCCGTGTGTATGTGTGTGTGTGTGTGTCTGTGTTAAGCACACGTGGGTGGAGGCCAGAAGAGGATGTCTAGTGTCTAGCTATGTCACTCTGCCTTATTCCCTTGAGATAGGGTCTCTCACTGAATCTGGAGCAAGCCTGGCATCCAGTGAGCCCCGGCATCCCCTGTCTCTGCCCTTCCTGTCCCCAAATACTGGAGTCATAGGCACCTGCACAACCATGCCTGGCTTTCCATGTCAGTGCTGGAGATTTGAACTCAGGTCCTGAATGCTTTCCCAGCGAGAGTTCTTACCTATTGAGCTATCCCTCCAGCCCTTGATTTATTATTTTTTAAAGTGGTGTGTGTATTGTGTATGTGCACATGTGTGCAAGTGTCCTTGGCGGCCAGAAGAGGGTGTCTGAGCCCCTGGAGCTGGAGACGCAGGCTGTCGTGAGACACCTGGTGTGGATCCTGTGAACTGAACTGCGGTCGGCTTAAGGAGTGGCGAGCACTCTTAACCTCTAGCTCTCTCTCGGCCCCCAGCCTGTAATTATTTTTCCCGGGCACTTTCGTTATCATTGGCGGTTGCATGTGGTTTTGAAGACACGGCATAGGTCTGACATCTCTGCCCCTTAGACGTCCCTTCCTTCGGAGCCGACTGTCACTCCTGTCAGCTGCCGGATACGCAGTAGGAGTGGAGCCTGGGCTTCTGCAGTCCCAGCTAGCCCCCAGTTGATGCCCACGACCCACACGTAGGTGCTAGCAATGTAAGCCAGGTCCCCCTGCATAGTCAGAGTGTGCTCTACCTTTGGGCCGCCCTGAGCCCCACCTGGAATGTGGCTCTGCATTGTAGAAATGGGCTTAATCACAGCCGATAGCAGCTGATCGTGGATGCAGTACTAAGCTGAGTACTCCTGGCCATGAGAAAGGCTGTGTCTCCCACCACCTTCCATCCACAGGTGAGATCTGGAACCATCTTTGATAACTTCCTGATCACAGATGATGAAGAATACGCAGAGCAGTTTGGCAAGGCCACCTGGGGGGAGACTAAGGTAGGCACAAACCACCCAGCTCACTTTTATTTTTGGTTTGAGACAAGGATTCACTCTGTAGACCAGGCTGACCTGGAACTCACAGAGATCCACCTGCCTCTGCCTCCCGAGTGCTGGGATTAAAGGTGAGCGCCACCAAGCCTGGCTTGCTTTCTTATATGTCTGGGCACATGAGTGCAGTGCCCACAGAGGCCATACGGCTGTGCTGGATCTCCTGGAGCTACAAGCACACCCGTTGTGAGCTGCCTCATGTGGGGGTTGGGGACCGCACTCGGGTCCTCCGGAAGAGCAGTATGTCTAACCCATCCCTGTAGCCCCGTGTTCTTGAGAGCGAGGGTGCTGGTGGAGCTTTGGCCGCAGTGGAACTCACTGTGCGGCTCGGAGGAGTCCACTCTTGTCCCTGCTCCCAAGTGCTGGGATGATTGACGTATGACAGCACTCTCTACGTTAGTCAGTTCTTATCGATTTAGTGACAGGGTCTCACATACCCCCAGACTGGCCTCAACTTTGCTGTCAGGAGTGACTTTGGACTTCTCATCCCTGTGCGTGTTTGCAGATGTACCACCATGTCCAGTTTTTCCTGTGCTGGCTATTGAATCCAGTGCCAGGCAAGCACCGAGCTATAAGCACTCTGTCAACTGAACTACAAGCACTCTTCTGTATGAGCCCCAGCCCCCAGCTTCAGCCTGTTTTATTCTTGTCCCTCCAGGGTCCAGAAAAGGAGATGGATGCCGTGCAGGCCAAGGAAGAAGTGAAGAGAGCCCGTGAGCAGGATGAGGAGGAGCTGGGGATGGGGAGATTTCACCGGCACAACAGCCAGTTAAGCAGATTCCACAGGCAAGGCGAACTGTAGTGGTCCCCACTCTGCATGCAGAGGACTGGCCCAGCCTCCCCTCCAATACACATATGAACAATCAGGTCTGCATGGTCATTTGTCCAGTTTCTGAAAAACAAGTCCATGTTTGTTGTGGGGTCCCCTAATCTTCCCCACTTCCCAAGACCCTGGTGCATATATCAGGAGGGAGGTTTCCCTCAGCTGCCTGTGGGGCACATACCTTTAATCTCAGGACTTCAGAGGCAGAGGCAGGCAGAAATCTCTGTGAGTTCCAGGCCAGCCTGGTTTATATAGTAAGTTCTAGGGCAGCCTGAGACACATAGTGAGACATTGTATTTTAAAAAAAAAAAAAAGTTTCAGCCAGGCAGTGGTGGCCTATGCCTTTAATCCCAGCACTTGGTAGGCAGAGGCATGTGGATCGCTGTAAGTTAGAGGCCAGCCTGGGCTACAGAGTGAGTTCCAGGAAAGGCACAAAAATTACATAGAGAAACCCTGTCTCAAAAAAAAAAAAAATGTTTCCCCTGCACAGAACAGACCATTAAGAAGCCAGAGACCTGTAAGAATCTGGCCATCAAAAATATTCCTTTTTTTTTCCAACCTCTTAAATACCATCATGAAATAAAAGATGATATGTAGCTGAAAGTTTCTCTCTCGTCCTGCCCAGCCCATGGTCCCACAGCCATTATAAAATAATCACTCAGAAGCTTATATTGATTATAACTGCTTGGTCATTAGCTCAGGCTTATTACTGACTAGCTCTTCCACGTAAATTAATCCATAATTCTTATTTATGTTTAGCCACGTGGCTTGGTACCTTTTCTTAGTTCTGCCTTGTCATCTTGCTTCCTCTTTGTCTGGCTCCTGACTCCTGACTCAGCCCTTCCTCTTCCCAGAATTCTCCTCATCTGCTTGCCCTGCCTATACTTCCTGCCTGGCTACTGGCCAATCAGCGTTTTATTATCAACCAATCAGAGCAACACTTATTCACAGAGTACAGAACAACATCCCACAGCACTTCCCCTTTTCTACCTAATCAAAAAGGAAGGTTTTAACTTTAACATAGTAAAATTACATATAACAAAACAGTTATCAAGCAAGAATTACAGTTACAATATCTCATCTATTTGTATTTGACAAATTCAAAGAAAATATTCTTTTTATACTATATCTGTGAGTCTAAGGTTTCATGTCTAATTTATCTTTTATCATAACCAAGGAAAATTATAACAATCTAGTCTTCAACTACATCAAAGACCTCAGAAGGATATAATATTACCTAAGTAAATGGGAAGAGCATTGTAAGCTCTGTAAGTCCATGACTGTCATGGACTCTAAGCCTCTGGAGCTGTAAATCCCAATAAACTCTTCTTTAAGTTGCTTTGGTTGTGATGTCTTATAGCAATAGAAGAGTAACCAAGACTCTTGGATAGAATGTGCTGGGTGACAGGCCTGTGCCACCATACATGGCTATATTGCCTTTAAAAGTCTTTTCGAGAGAGTGTTCCACTATGTAGCTTATAGCTCCGTATGTAGACCAGGCTGGCGTCAAACACACAGAGATCTGACTCTGCATCCTGAGTGCTGGGAATAAAGACATGTGCCACCACACCTGGCTAAAAATCTTCAAAATTTACAAATTTTTATGGGCTAGAGAAATGAATTTGTGATCAAGAGCACTTTCTGCTCTTCCATAGGACCTGAGTTTAGTTCTCAGCAACCACATCAGGCACCTCACAACATCCAGGTCCAGGGGATCTGATGCCCTCTTCTGACCCCTGCAGGGACCTGCATTTACATGCATAAACACACATAACATAACTTTTGTTGTTGTTTTCAAGACAGGTAGCTTTGGAGCCTGTCCTGGAACTTGCTCTGTAGACAGGCTCGCCTGGAACTCACAGAGATCCGCCTGCCTCTGCATCCCCGAGTGCTGGGATTAAAGGTGTGTGCTAATACCGCCCAGCTAAATTTTAAAAAAAAGATTTGTGTTGTGTGTGGTGAGGCAGCTGGTCACCCAGCATCCACAGTCAGGATGCAGAGCTGAATGCTGTTCAGCTCACTTTCTCCTGGACTCCTGCCCATGGAATGGTGGGTCTTCCCTCCTCATCCCAGTCCAGAAATTCACGATGTACCGATGTACCCCAGAGCTTTGTCTCCTACGTGATTCTAGATCCCATCAAGCTGGCAATCAGCATCAATCGTCACAATTAACTCAAGAAATCAAACCAAGTGGGAGTGAACGTGGTGGGTTATATATGCCCTTTGTCCCAGCATAGTGGTTTGAATGAGAAAATGAGGATGTCCCATGGGGCCAGCAAGGTGGCTCCGTGGGTGAAGATGCTTGCCACCAAGGCTAACAACCTGAGTTCTATCTCTGGGACTTACGGTGGGAAGGGAGGCCTGACTCCTACGCCTTGTCCTCTGACTACACACCCACACACTAAGTAAGAGTGTAGTAAAAATATGTAGGGGCTGGAGAGATGGCTCAGTGGTTAGATAAGAGCACTTGTTGCTCCTTCAGAGGATCCAGGTTTGATTCCCAGCATCCAGTGTGATGGTTATAACCATTGGAAACTCCTGTCCCAGTGAGCCCCAAGCCTCCTGACCTCTATGGGCACCAATGAAGAGATGGTTCATTGGTTAAAGGTGCTTGTTGCTTTTCCAGAGGACCCAAGTTCGGTTCCTAGTCACATCGGGAGGCTCCTAAGTGCTGTTAACGCCATCTCTAGGGCGTCCAACAACCTCTTCTCTTCTCCACAGGCACAGGCACGCAGGTAGCAGACACACACACATAAATGACAAAAGAACCAAAAACAAACAAACCAAAATGTCAGGCCACACCTGCATCTGCAAACAGAATCAAAACCCAAGTCTGCAAGTCTGTTTAACAAGCTCACAGGGTGGCACTGACACCGCACGCACAGGGCCCAAGGTGTCATGGTACTTGGGTCTGTGTCAGTGGCCTGTCTGTTTGTCGCTGGGCGAAGTTCAGCAAACGCTAAGCATTTGTAAGGGGCAGCTAGAGTAGAGAGGTTAAGATGGAGCCTGCGTTTAGCCAAGCTCAGAGACACCGACCCAGACCGGGAGGCGCACACAGGGCTAGGAACAGGGGAAGCTTGGAGCGTCCTCAGTCTTCATCCGCAGGGAGCTGGAGGCCCGCAGCCGGGAAGGGAAGCCCACCGCTCTAGGGTCCCTGCCCTCTAGAACCACGCCCCGGGCTCGTCCCGCCCACTCCTATCAGATTAGGCACACGAGACCCCGCCCCCAGGCCTCCCACCCCGCCCACTCCAGGCCAGCTGTGCTCCCGATGCCCCGCCCCTGGTCCCCACACCCAGGTCTACTGGGGATGACAGAGGTCGAGGCCCCGCCCCTTCCAGACAGACATGTGCTCTAGGCTCCGCCCTCGATCCGCCCCTACCATCTTGCCCCGCCCACTCCAGTTATGCTACGCGAGGGCGCCTCCTCGTCAAGGCCCCGCCCCGAGCCAGAAGCGCCCCGCCCTCTCAGGGCTGACTATGCTCGAGGCCCCGCCCCTCGACTGCAAAACTGCGCACGTGAGGCAGTTCTGGATTCCTATCTGCGCATGTGCATTCTTGTACGCTAGCCCGCGGGCCTGTCATCGCGCTGGCCGGGCTGCGCGCGCAGCGCATCCCTCCTCCGTCCCAGTGCGCACGCACGGCTCCGCCCCCGCCCCTTCGGCGCTCGGGAGGCCGAGTCCGCACGAAGATGGCGGCGCCGCTCGTCCCCCTCTCGCAGCAGGTACGGTGCTGGGGACGCGCCGCGGGGCGGTGCGGGCGGCGGGCGCTG